ACCGACTGTCCCACCGACGCTCCAGCGTTGTGAACAGGGAAGGGCCTTCAAAGCATCTTGGCTTGACAACGTCACCGTCCACTTTTGTTCATACCACATCGCACAGTCACTGGGCCACTTAAGGTGGCGTACATTTGCATGTGTGCGTAAGGCCACCAGTGAATACAACAGTGACCAAGCTAAACTTACAGAGCCCGTCAGCCAGGATGTCTAAAACATGTTTGCCATGCAGCGATAGTTCTGTTGTCGAGCGCGCCAGCCAACGCAAATATCTGCGCCCACAAGACCATCACGGTGCACTCGACACGAAATTGTTGCACGGAATATAAGGATCCGGAAAAAATCCCTGCGACAGCAAATACTGCGCGAAGCTCGGTCCAGCCGTGCTTCAGTTTCATGTATTTTTTAGCACTAAGCCATCTTGTTCCTGGGATGATGTGGCCATTGACAGTCCCGCCAGGTCTGTTGGGAATTGGAAAGAATGCTGATCGTTCATTCTCAGGACAATTCACATGTTAACCGTGTGCTTGGCGATAGCAAAAAAGCAAAGACGATCCTGATATATATATATATATATATATATATATATATATATATATATATCCTATCTTGCGAGGCCTGACCAGCGGGAGGCCTCGCCACCATGACGTAGTTTTTCGTCACCACACTGGGACAAACAACTGACCGTCAGATTCCGTCCTGCTTCCGCATTACTCAAATCACTCCGTGTTTGATCCCCACCCTCCCGCAGGACGACGAGGCCGCGTCACCGTCGCTGGGGGAGCCGTTCGACGCTGTGTTCTCAAAGCGGAAGGCGGAGGCGGACGCCTTCTACGCGCGGGCGATCCCGGCGCGGCTCAACGCTGAGGAGACAAACGTAGCGCGGCAGGGCCTGGCCGGCCTGCTCTGGACGAAGCAGTTCTACCACTACGTCATCAAGGACTGGCTGGAGGGCGACCCCGAGCAGCCGCCGCCGCCGCCAGAGCGCCGCCGGGGCCGCAACAACGACTGGATGCACCTCTTCAACCGTGACGTCATCTCCATGCCCGACAAGTGGGAGTACCCCTGGGTGAGCGGGGCTGTACCTCTGGACCGCAGTGGAAGCGTTCACCCATGGGTGAGCGGGGCAGTATCCACGAGTGAGAACTGGGGTTGTTGACCCTGGGTAGGGACGATGGTCCCCTGGGGTGTGTAAGGTCCCCTGGGGTGTGTAAGGTCCCCTGGGGTGTGTAAGGTCCCCTGGGGTGTGTAAGGTCCCCTGGGGTGTGTAAGGTCCCTGGGGTGTGTAAGGTCCCTGGGGTGTGTAAGGTCCCCTGGGGTGTGTAAGCACCCTGGAGGTAGCGGCGGCCGTGGCCGTCGTTGGTAGTGAGCGAAGGCGAGTTATGTCGGAACAGCTTTCGCGGGGAAAAAGTTAGACCGGTCACAACTATGTGCAATTTAGAGCACATCTTATTTTTAATAATACCAGCATTTCGTCGATAGAGCAAACATTAAAGAGAGCATCCCTCAAAGAACCATTGTAAAACGCCGGCCGTTGGTAAGACGCTACAGACTAGAGATTTACCGATTCTCATGCTTCTAACCCGTAACAATGCTCATCTTCGCTTGTCAGCCATGGGCCATGATCACCCATGTTTTACTTTGCAACTTTTATAAAGAATTCACGTTTTCGAGTGACGTAAGTAATTCGTCCCCGCTGCCACTGGCCGACCACCGACCACCGCCTGTCACCTGCACCTGAGCCATCTCGACGTCCTTACAGTACGCCTCCTGGGACCTGGCATTCCATATGGTGCCGTTCGCGCTGGTGGACGTGGACTTCGCCAAGGGTCAGCTCATGCTCTTTCTCCGGGAGTGGTACATGCACCCTAACGGCCAGATACCAGGTGGGCACGGATATATATAAATAGAGAGAGAGGGAAAGCACGACCGTTTGAAATGACCATCTCGAATCGGGAAACTGATGGCGAAACGACCGCAGAGGTCCGGACGTGCTGCAAGCAAATTTCCAGTTGCATTTGGAGTCGCGATATTTATTAAACTCCTATCCGTTTATGCAAGATGTTAAGTGCATTTGCGAGGAACATTATGCATATAGATAAGATGCTAGCAACAGCCTTATCCCTCGTGGAAGAGAACGGAGGAGAAACGCAACTTTCTTTTTAGTAAAAACGCACTTAGATGCATGAACACACACACACACATATATATATATATATATATATATATATATATATATATCCATCCTTCTGGTTTTTCTATGAGGAATAAGGCTACTACCAATGTCTCATGAACTGTTTGTCACACTTCTTAGGTCACCGCTCCATCCGGGCGACGTTGTAACCGGCCGTAAGCGATTGAGCGTCCGCAGTGCTGCAGCTCCGCACGCCCTGTCACTGTGCGGAGCTGCCTGACGGCGCAGGCTTCCGTTTGGCAGCGTACGAGTTCGCTTTCGACGACGTCAACCCACCGGTGCACGCCTGGGCCGTCCGGAAGGTGTTCAAGGGCACCGGGCCTCGCAAGCAGCGCGATACCAAGTTCCTGGCGCGCTGCTTCCAAAAACTCATGCTCAACTTCACCTGGTGAGCACGCCATGTTCGATTACGTGTGTGTGTGTGTGTGTGTGTGTGTGTGTGTGTGTGGTTGTGTGTGTGTGTGTGTGTGTGTGTGTGTGTGTGTGTGTGTGGTGTGTGTGTGTGTGTGTGTGTGTGTGTGTGTGTGTGTGTGCGTGTGTGTGTATCCCACCACGGCTTTCATCATTAGATCCAGGTGGGTGAACCGGAAGGACCCGCGGGGGAGAACATCTTCTCCGGAGGCTTCTTGGGCCTGGACAACATCGGCATCTTCGACCGCTCCAAACCCCTGCCCATCCACGGACAGCTGGAGCAGGTTAGAGATGACGGCATCTAATGACCGTTGGGCCGGCCCACCCGTCCCGACCGTCTCCGCCTGCGTGCACGTTGTCTTGATCAGTCATGTATTCTCCTTAATACTGCCCAGTGATGCCTCTGATCAGAGGCCGTATTAATCGAAACCGTGGACACTCCCTAACGTTCGAGGAAATATGCAACCCCACGCTTTTATCTCTAAAATTGGGCTATTTTGATATGTATCCTGTACCGGATACTACCTATTCCGGTCTAAACGTATGTCCGCCCTCGCCGCTGCACCCCAGAGTGCTCAGTAGCCTCCAACTCCGGTCTTCTCCGCTGCCAGGCGGATGGCACGGCGTGGATGGCCTTCTACTGCGTCGTCATGCTGGACATCGCCCTGGAGCTGGCGGAGGTGGACGCTACCTACGAGGACATGGCGTCCAAGTTCTTCGAGCACTTCATCCACATCATGGATGCCATCAACAGCGCAGGACAGGGAGAAGGTCCGAAACGGAGGAGGGAAGAATCTGTCTCGACAGTGCGTCGTTCATGAGTGAAGGGAGGCACTTCCCATCAGTATGCCGTTTCAATCGTGGTTCAATGCATCATTGCCCGGCGTTCCAGATAAATCCAGGGCATGATGTCGAGCCTCCATCCCACGCTGTAACTAGAAAAGCAAGTGGTAATATTAACGTGTTTTTATCACACTCATGTTCCAAAAGATGCAAAAAGGTGAACGGCACTAATTGTGTTGGTAAAAAATAAATGTATCTGTCAGCGTCATTGGCGTCGCGACCTTTCCCATTGACACCGCGTGGGGCTGGAAAAATATATGTGAGATTCGAACCAGGGACCTCTGGGTCACTGATGCTCGCCTCCCACCGCAGGCCTGTGGGACGAACAGGACGGCTTCTACTACGACTTCATCCGGACCGAGTCAGGCTGCTCGATCCCGCTGCGCGTGCGCTCGATGGTCGGCCTGATCCCGCTCTTTGCCTGTCTCGTGCTCGAGGGCGCGCGCGTCAGAAAACTCACCGGGTTCTGGAAGCGCACGCAGTGGTTCATGCAAAACCGAAAGGACCTCTTTGGAAGGGTACGAGACTGAAAGAGATGACTGGTCACGGATGTGATGTTGTTTAGGTGGACTTGAAGTGGTACTCGAGGCACAGAAAGTGTGTTCTACATAGCTGAATGTGCGAACGTTTGTTCAACCAAAATAGTATCGCTGGGTTTTTGAGTGATAAGGGCGGCTCAGTTTAGGGGCAACCGTAGTCTTGCATTGTAGATGCTGTTGTCATCGGGATTTATAACGTAATCAGCCGCTGAGGCTTTTCGGCGTCGCCCGTCTTTCACGCTGGCGGGAAAGGCGGACACCGCGGGGAATCGAACCCCGTACCTCTGCTTTCCCAGACGCGCAGTGGTTAACGCAAATGCGTTAACCACTACACTATCGCCATCCAACCGTAGTTGACAAGGCATCCTGACCATTAAGAGAGTCGCATCCAACGCGCCACGCGTGCGCACAACATCGTAAGCTCTGTGGACGGCGTTGGCTGATGTCGCTGGACGCCGAGCGGCAGCTGTCTGACGTCACTGGGCACCGACCGGCAGCTGTCTGGCGTCACTGGGTGCCCACCGGCAGCTGTCTGACGCCATTGGCGTCCCACCGGCAGGTGGCCTACATGACGTCTTCGGAGGACGGACTGGACAACTTCCTCCTCGGCATTCCCACCGAGAAGCAGTTGGTCAGCGTCCTGCGCTACCTGTTGGATGAGGAGGAGTTCCTCAGCCCGTACGGCGTGCGCTCCCTCTCGAAGAAGCACAAGGTGGGATCTCAAATAAAGCAGCTTAGGTCACCATTTCCTAGGATGAAAGCACATGACGTGACCATTCCCAACGGTAAAACTACGTCACGTGGCGATTCCCAAGGATGGAAGTACCTCACGTGGCTAGCACGAGACAGTGGCGGGTTACGGGTGATACCTGCATGTGCTATGATCAGCTCCGGTAAAGGTCAGCTCAGCGAGTCCAGCCTGGCATAAATGTGCAGCTTAACGCGCAAAAGACTGTCACAGCTCACCTTCTAATTACATCGAATCGTGAGTTCCAAACATGCTTCGCTCAGTTTGGGGACACAGGAACGTTCGCCTTGTAGTTGTACAAATTACCCTGTCCACTAAGTAAAGGAGTCGCATCCGATACGCCATGAGTGCAAATAACATCCATGGCTCTTTGTACTGTGGAGATATAGCTGTGTTATATACATATACATATACATATACATATATACACATATATATATATACATATATATATATATATACATATATATGTATATATATACATATATATATATATATATATATATATGTACATATGTATATGTATATGTATATGTATATGTATATAACATAGCTATATCTCCACAGTACAATGGAGTACACAGTACAAATATATATATATATATATATATATATATATATATATATATATATATATATATTGATTACCCTTACGTGAACACATTAAAACACGTCCTTATGTCAACAAATATCTGCATTGTCTTGAAGTGATCGTCGTAAAGTAATGTGCGCATGCATCTCCCAAGTACATTTCAAAGCGCTCAGAACGTTTCTCTTCAGTCTGGCGCCTGGAACACGCAGGACGATGTGTTCGTGATCTGAGGTACCTCTCCCACAGGACCACCCGTTCGTGATCTGAGGCACCTCTCCCACAGGACCACCCGTTCGTGATCTGAGGCACCTCTCCCACAGGACCACCCGTTCGTGATCTGAGGCACCTCTCCCACAGGACCACCCGTTCGTGATCTGAGGCACCTCTCCCACAGGACCGCCCGTTCGTGATCTGAGGCACCTCTCCCGCAGGACCACCCGTTCGTGATCTGAGGCACCTCTCCCGCAGGGGCATCCGTTCGTGATCTGAGGCACCTCTCCCGCAGGGGCATCCGTTCGTGATCTGAGGCACCTCTCCCGCAGGACCACCCGTTTGTGATCTGAGGCACCTCTCCCGAAGGACCACCCGTTCCTGACTGAGGCAACTCTCCCGCAGGACCACCCGTTCGTGATCTGAGGCACCTCTCCCGCAGGGGCATCCGTTCGTGATCTGAGGCACCTCTCCCACAGGACCACCCGTTCCTGACTGAGGCAACTCTCCCGCAGGACCACCCGTTCGTGACCGATGTACCTCTCCGGCAGGACCACCCGTTCGTGACATGGGGCACCTCTCCCGAAGGGCCACCCGTTCATGATCTGAGGCACCTCTCCCGAAGGACCACCCGTTCCTGACTGAGGCAACTCTCCCGCAGGACCACCCGTTTGTCATCTCGCTGAACGGTGAGCGGTACTCGGTGCCGTACGTGTCTGGCGAGTCCAACACGCACCTGTTCGGTGGCAACTCCAACTGGCGTGGCCCCATCTGGCTGTGCGTCAACTTCCTGCTGATTGAGGCTCTCGACCGCTACTACTTCTTCTACGGCAAGAGGCTGACGGTCGAGTGTCCGGTCGGCTCGGGACGGCAGCTGACGCTGCGCGAGGTGGCCTGCGAGCTGGCCGCCCGCCTCATCCGGCTCTTCGTGCCTGGAGAGGACGGGCGCCGGCCCTGCCACGGTGAGAGGACGCCCGGTGTGGCGTGCTGGGTCTCAGCCGAGTGTCACAATCAGGTCGCGGCACGAGGTAAGGTGAGGTATCCTAGAGGAATGCCAGGTGACATCCGAACAGAATATCTAGGTAAGGCACAGCGTAATGTCGTTGAAAGAGCGGAGCGAAATAGTGCGGCGACACAACCTGATAATATGGTGAACTCAGCGGAATGTCATGCGCCACGTTTCAACAAAACATCGCTGGAAGATACCAGCGAAGCGTCATGAGAGAGATGCATGAGAAGTCTGATCATGTGTGAGATCGAGATCAGCGTCAGATGTGAGATTAAACCAAAAAGTCATTTAAACATCGCGATCCCATTAAACGCCACGGTCCCATTTAAAAGTCGCGATCCCATTAAGCGTCACGGTCCCATTTAAACGTCGTGATGCCATTAAACGTCACGGTCCCATTTAAACGTCACGATCAGGCTACACTGCCACATCATGGCCAGATCCCAGCAGGAGGCAGCAATTGCATGGTGACCAATAGCTTAATGATACGCAAAGCTGCTGGCATGATAAAACCTAGAAAACGATGAGAATGGCACAGTGAGATCAATCCGACATGCATACAGCTATAACAACTGACCAAATGCCGTGCTTACCACTACCTCTTCAAATCCCGACCACACAACTATGCGCTTAGCTGGAGACCACGGACCACGGATCGCTGCCTTTCAAGCTAGGCTGGTTGTGGGACCTCACAGTACGAGGACGAGTGCCGTCTGTCGACAGTCCTGATCTGGCATCACTCTCCCACCTCAACCCGCGCTCTTCTTCCGTTTCAAGCTAGGCTGGTTGTCGGACACGTTAGACCTCACAGTACGAGGACGAGTGCCGTCTGTCGACTGTCCTGATCTGGCATCACTCTCCCACCTCAACCCGCGCCCTTCTTCCGTTTCAAGCTGGGCTGGTTGTCGGACACGTTAGACCTCACAGTACGAGGACGAGTGCCGTCTGTCGACAGTCCTGATCTGGCATCACTCTCCCACCTCAACCCGCGCCCTCCTTCGGTAGGCAACTCTGCCCAGTACGCAGAGGACCCGTTCTGGCGCGACCTGGTCCTCTTCTACGAGTACTTCGACGGGGACTCGGGCCGCGGCTGCGGCGCCTCCCACCAGACCGGCTGGACTTCGCTCATCGTCAACTGCCTAATGATGAAGCTGGGCGTGCGACACGCCGGCCTCGCCTGGCGCTACGACGCCCAGCCGTGAGCGCGAGGAGCGCTGGCGGGCCGAAGTCGACACGTGGCCAGCTGCGGAGGACCGGACTTCCGGCGGTGACTAGACGCACCGACCGGAGCGGGCCGGTGCCAGCCAGGAGAGTGGCGTCGAAGCGGCTGGGCTACGCCATGCCAAGGGGCGAGGGTAATGTGGGGCCAATCTGGATGGCACCTCAAAACCGCGCGGTGGATTAGCACGAGACTGTAGGGCTGTTCATGAGCCGCGAAGCGCCTCTCTTGAGGCACCGAACGTGGAGCTGATGCGCTAGAACTGGAAACGAGACGGGGGGCGTACGGCATCTCTGAGGTCGTGTGCTGAGACCGCGGTGGAATCCGGAGCTGCTGTCTATCTAGGCAAGCAGCACGGTGAGGGAGCTCTTCTTAAATCCAACGTAGTTCTGAAAGCCTTGTAGAAATCGGTGTAATGCAAAGAGCCATTCTATGTGTTTCTATATATTACGTTTTTTATTGATAATGAACCTTCGTGGGATGTGCTGTTCTGGCATGTTGAATATCGTATTCTTTACGAGCGTGTTGCTGGAGAAGAGATATGGGATTACTCGACCGCTTCTAAGGTGACAAGGCAGTCTCAGCTGCTTTTGTATGCGGAGGCGAGAACACAGTGTTATTGGCTCAGACTGGTTGACGTAGCTGAGACATGATGAAATGCTGTCGACTTAGTTGGTACCATTCGGTCCCGCCTGTGAAGCGGTCGATTGTATTGCGATACTCAGCCGAGTTGAGGTGGAGGGTATCTTTAGCCACGGGATGCTGCCGTATCGTAGTAGTCGGAGCTCTCCGGCCGGCCTGCTTCTCAAATGCACTGCCATGGAAGTGGACTTTACTGTCACAAAATAAACTGAATGCTTTTGCCTTTTGCCAAGTTTCGTGTTTGTGGCCAAAAAACAAACACGTGGAAAGCTTCGTGTCGCCCTGTTGTCAAATTGTATCCATGCTGAAGGCGACAGGAAGACGAATAGAAAGAGTTATTCACAACTTTTTGAGGTTCTTTGGATCGCTTTTTTCCTGGTCAACCTCAGTGGTGTCGGAGTTAACTGTGCTCCTGCAGAATGCAGGGTTGAGCACAAACGGCACCAGTGCACATCGTCCCAACCACTGTGCACCCATCACCTCCACAAACTGCGCTCAGGAAGGAATTCCACGATGGGCAGGCGACACAAAATCAGCAAGCATAACAAATACGTACGTAACACGAAAGTTGCATGCGTGAAGACTTCGGTGCTGCCGACATTAAAGCAAAACGGAACAGAGAAAGAATGAGCCGGAGCCATTAAAAAGTTAACAAGCATTGAGAAACATGCTTAAGATAACGCACCGTGGAATGCCCTTTGGATTTCTTGGGATGCCGTGATCACGACTCTGAGATCGCGGGAGCAGTCAGGATTGGAGGGTTTGACTGGAATCTAGAGGAGACAGGCTGCACTAAGACTGACGTTTTGAAGTGGAAGGTTAAAAAAAAGCAATCTACAAACAAAATGGGAGGGACCACGCGCATGGACATAAAATGCACATGAAGGACGGGCAAAAGTCATGTTTTTTGTTCCCCACTCTCCACAGACGTTCCGTCATCACCAGGCTTGACATGGCAGCCAGAAGGCAACGCACTCGCTTCCAAAGACGACTGAATCTTGACGGCTTTGCTGAATAGAAGCCCACAAAACGAATGTTCATACTTGACAGTTAACTTTGCGTGATAGGCGTACGAATATATGCGCCCATCAGTAATGATATTCTTGTTACTGATACGACGGTAGCCCAATATTCAGCCTGGCTGTTTCCAGCAGTTCGCGCGTGCACGGTTCAGCCGTTCGCGCTAGTCAGCTTCTTATCTGCCACGCATGCAGACCTGTAATCGGCACATTGTCATACTATCCGTTAGATTCTACGCATTTGGCCACTTACTTATGTGCACCCACCACCAACAGTTTCTTCGTTATTGGCATGAGTGCGGTCTAATAACCCGGCCTCCCATATCTGCAGTGGTTTTCACGTGAGCGTTTTCAATTTCCACGTTGATTTCATTGCAATGGTTGGCCGCATCAACTTGCAAAGTCATCTTTTCTCCGGGTAACTCAAAGCCTCGTTCAATGTCTAGATGTCAACATAACAAGAGTAAACGCAAGAAGAATAAATTAAAAACGATGAACGCAACAATGTATTAGTGAAATCAAGACGCAGAGCGAACAAAATAAAGAAGTAATGTGCCCGAAGCGCAAAAGACGCCACCACATACACCTAATTTACGCAGACGGGGATGTCACGGCCCCGAGACGATTCTGGCCGCCAAGTTCACGATTGTTTGCAACCTGGCGACATAGTAGGCGAGTACTATGGTCATTGTACTTGCGAATAATGGATCTCACGACAGAAAAAACGGCTCCGTGGGAGTAATGTGTCTACGGGTAATAATCATATTTGCTGAGATTAATTATACGTGTTGTTAATGACGGCTGCTGGTTAATTGGCCAACGGTACTGATCTGCAGTCAATTGCATGAAGGCAATACTCTATCATAAGCTGACTAGCAGGGAGCGACCGCAGGTGGTGGCGAAAACATTGGCGCGCCAACATCACATGGGCTTTTATGAAACAGATGCTTTCGTCCTAACACGAGCAGCACACGCCACTTTCTCTCGTCACAAAATGATGCCGGAATCCTTCATCGGCACGTCGGAATTCCCCTCAGCGTATTATCCCCAATCGCCAGAATCACACCTCGGCACGCCGGAATCCCTCATCGGCTCTGAGGAGTCATAACGCAGAGCATTTGTGACGCATTTAGCCCATTGTGATAACAATTATTGCATTACACTCGTGGAAAATCCATAGTCGGCCCAAGCTGTGCACAGCATATGAGCCATGCAAGATAATTAATATGGCATGTAAACATGGACCTGACTACGACGCGTCCTCTCATGGCACACAACTCAGGGCGCACATTACTCATTAATAAATACTGCCTTTTTTCCTGTATACTGTTCGCCAAATAACAGGCGGGGTGGGCACGTCAAAGAACAACACACATTAGCGACATATTTATATGTTAGACATGCTGATAACTGCGATGGGATGTAAGCACTAAAAGAGATCACGCCATATAGTGCGATGTACTATCATGTACGGTAGCCGTCCTATATTTTAGTGACGGCTTCCCTTTCATATCGTCGGCGTTCGGTGGCGCACAACGCTTGCATATTGCCGCATGACGCGGGGTCTGAAATATAGGCCGCGTTTCATTTCAACTACTGTGTTATTGGTAGACGAACACAAACCTCGCCCACTCGGATGCTAGGCTGTTTCATACCAGCTACTGACTACTGGAGAGCGTTACATTAGCTGCGCAGTTGTGACCATCAAATTTGGGAAGAAAAATAAGTTTGTGAGTGGGCGGCAGCGCGACCGCGGTCAAAAACCTGTTAGATGAAGGTATGAGTAACGGGAAAGATCTTGTGTGCTTGTCATCCATACCTCAAAAACATACACGGGAATGGAAGCATTTACGTTTGATGAATTACAGAGAGAAACTGCCCCAGTGGCTCCATTAGGCGACGACCCACTTGAAGTCGTCCATTACCGCGATCTTGATGGGTGAGTTGCATCAGACATGATAAATGATAATGCTAGGGGTGCAGTTTCGGAAAATGCTTTCCCACTTTACATCAAACTTGAGGGGAGATGAAGCCCAAGTTGGGGGTGGGTGGGCTGAACCCCCCCCCCTCCCCCCAGCTGAATAGGAACTGCACCCTTGAATTAGGATTTGATCAACTCTATCTAAGCCATGCATTTTTACTCTTCTGGACAAGCTTGCATGATAACATTGGGTGATGAGAATGTCCATTGGCTTTTGCCTAAAATATTGAACATCGTGTTGTTGTTGGTGATGCCTTCCTGATGCTTTCCTGGCATGTGTCTGCAGACCTTACCTGTTCCTGCTGGTGTTAATTTTCCAATCTAATAATACTCCACATGTTGCAGGGAAGTTTGGGACCGAAGGAGATTGGAAAAAAATGAAGACTTTTATGAAAAAACAGTGCCACTACTAACGGACGAGCAGTACGCTGAACAGTTCAGATTGAAGAGGGGCACGGTCGGGAGGATTGTTGGACTCTTGGGGGAAAGGGATGAGAATCCCTCTGGACAGGGGAGGGAACCTTATCCCAGAGAGAAACAAGTACTCCTCACTCTTTGGTACCTGGGAAGCATCATCAGCTTCAGAAAAGTGGCAATGCTCTTTGGTTTGGCAACATGCACTGCTTGGAGGTTTGTGGATGAAGTTATTGAAGACCTGGTCACAATGAGGGATTTGTTCATCAACATACCTCCTTTGGAAAGCATGGCACAAGTGATGGAGGGGTTCAGGTCGCTGAAGGGGGTCCCCGATGTGTGTGGTGCTCTGGATGGGTGTCATGTAGGAATACTACAGCCTCATAATCATCCTGAGGCATACATCAACAGAAAGGGCTTCTTCTCAGTTAATCTGATGGCCCTCTGTGATTCATCCCACAAGTTCATGGACATCTGTGTGGGGTGGCCAGGGTCAGTTCATGACTCACGTGTGTTTAGAAAGAGTACCCTGGGTAAGAGGCTGGCAGACCCCATCACTAGACATGCAATCCTGCCACAAAATGGTTTCATTGTTGGCGATTCTGCTTTTGAACTACAGAGTTGGCTCATGACACCATTTCGGGAAAATCAACTGGCAGAAAATAGGGAAAAGAAAAAGAAGTACAACTATCTGATCTCAAGCACACGTGTGGTTGTGGAGAAAACCTTTGGCATTTTGAAGGCAAGATTTCGGCGTCTCTCCTGTGTGGAAGCTCAGTCAGTTCAGAAAGTTGCGAAGCTCATAGTGGCAGCCTGTGTACTTCACAACATTTCACTTCAGGAGCATGACTTTTGGAAGGAGGATGGTGAAAATGAGGTCACTGAAGGCGTATATGCCGATGAAGAGGTGCGACCGAGAGCTGGAGTACTGCGGGAGCATACAAATCCGGTACTCGTTGAACCATCCGCTGTCGTGGTGCGTAAAGAGCTAGTGGAAAGGCTTTGGGTGCTGTAGCAAGGCTGGTGGTGCTGCTGGATGATCACTGGCTGTGTTGCAGTGTCTAAGGTATTTTCGTTGTGGTGTTCGCTGTAGGTCAGCATGATGTAGATTTTGCAATGCTGTGGAGGTCTGAAGGGCAGTGAACAAAGTGTTTTTTGCTGGCAGGAAATACAACATTTTTGTGATCTATGTGCATTCCAAAAGTCCTTACAGCAGTGACTGAAGCTGCTTCCAAGTGAAATGTTACAATGAGAACAGGAGTCATCCAGAGACAGGTTATCATCAAGACACAAGCTTAAAAAAATAATGTCCCGCTAAATCCCTAGCAGCCCCCACATTAACTAAAATATCCAAAGCACTAACGCCATGTCGCCCGCCCCGCGCGCCGCCATGTTTGTGGATGCCCCGCCGACTACCGAGATGTTAAAGGGTTCTGCCAGTCCAGTAGTCGACAAGTGTGACGTCACACCCTTCACGTCACGAATCCATCATGGCCGCCCGACCAATCATAGAACAGGATTTCGACTATTGGTAGTACGATAGTTAAAATGAAACGCGCCCATAGATGAGGAGCTTGAGCGCAG